GGGGCTTGGAGCCCGCGGGTGACGGGAGGTGCTCGGGCGGAGGAACGGCGGCCGTGTCGGAGGGGCCGTTCCCGCGGCTCCGTGGCCGTCCCGGGTCCCTTGGTCGGGCCGAACTCCCGGGGGCCCGGCCCCAAGGCCCCTGCAGAGCCCCTCGGGGAGCCCCCCATCGGCACACGGGGCGGTTCCGGGTCGCGCAGGCGGACTGTGCGGCATCGGGGACCGGGGAGCAGCGGCGACGTGGTGGACCGGGAGTCGGCGGCGAGCAGCGGGGAGGACACAGAGCGGCAGTGCGCCTCTGACCACCTCTCCCCATGCAGCAGTTCTGCTTCTGCGGGGACTTAGACGGCCCCGACTGGGTGGTGGCTGAGATCAGCTCCCTGGCCGAAATCGTTAAGTGCCCGCCCCCACCCCGTATCCCCCTGCCCCCCCAGGCCCGCTGCCCACCCTCCCTCTCCCGCGCAGACCCCGCTGATGGTGATCTGTGCCCAGCTTCTGCGAACGAATCTCTGGACTGCCTCTCTGCAATCCCCGCCCTGCAGTGATTTCAGCTCCAGCTCCACGTCTTCCCCCCACCAAGTGAAGTTGCTCCTTGATCAGAGCAGGATGTTTACTTCAGGTCCAGCTCTAGAAACTCTATTCCAGCTTCAGCCCCAGAGTAGCTATCCCAGCGTATGGGGATAGGGGTGGAGGTGGAATCACTGAGGGGCTGGCACAGTGGTTCTCCAGGTGTAGTGCTGAGGGGTCAGCACTTGGGACTCACTGTGTCCTCTTTTCTTGGCAGCAGCCATTGGAGAAAACAGAAGAGGCATCGTGTAGCACAGCGAGGCCAGAGTGAGTGAGCAGAGGAGTGGCCTCAGGCTGGAGAGGGGCAAGAGAAAGGCAATGTGGGCAAAGGGACCTCCCTGTTTTCACCAGGTAACCTGCAGGGTTGTAAAATACTTCAGATGCATTTGCTGCGCATCCATACGGACAGGCTGTGAGCACAGGGAAAAAGTCTCACCTTAGAATGGTGACATGAAATCTCCTTCTATTAACCATCACGCATTTCTTAGTACGTAAAATCTACTTAATGAAAACCAAAACATCAAACAGTGGATCGACCAAGTTGTGCCCTGGCTGCAGCAGATGCCTGACTGCACTCAGCAAACGGAAGGTGCCTCTGGGGACCAGTGGGTACTCTGGATGCTAACGCTGTCAGAGCTCAAAATCTAAGCTCTCAACAGAGAGATCTGAAGAAGTTGCAGGAAAAGAAACTGCTTTCTGGTTCCTTCAGCTTCAGGAAGCCACAGTGGCAGATGGCCAAATGTGCAGTCAGTTGGCTGCAAGACCTTTAACTCATCGGACCAACAGTTACTGCAGAAAGAAAAATAAAAATCTATCAGAGGAAGTTGTTCACAGATAAAAGTTCCATGCAAGTTTCTTTATGCTGTTCCTTCAGTTTTAACTCCATTACAAGTGATTCCAAACCTTCTGTTTCTGCAGGTCTCGTTCATTCGCGTTGCTTCTCCTCTGGCATTTCATCCGCGTGTCCTGCACAAAGTTTCTGAAGGCTGGTTCTTCATGACTCTCCTCAGTCACTGGGGGAAGAAACGACAGTTCAGCGCTATTTCAGTACTTGTTCTACTTGTGTTACTGAAAAAAAGCTAGAATCAGGATAGCCAAAGCAACATAGAAAGTCTATTCCATCTTCAACTACATTACAGGGCAAAGGAAATAAGTGATCCTACCCATCAGTGGAACAGGGAAAGAAGGAAGATTGTGAGCTATATAAGAGAAAAATCGCACTGTAACAACTTAGAAGATTGCTCCAAGACCACAGTCACAGGAAAAGGGAAGAGAGCCAGGGGCAGAAGCTGTAAGGCCAAAAAGATGATGGACACATCTATGCATCAGTCAGGTTCAGAGGTCATGCCCCAAGCCTAACAAGTTCTCTGGTTTATGTGTGTTATACACCTGTTAATTACATGAATAGAAAATTTACAATTGAACTTTCACAAAGGTTACAGAGTGATATCCCTGGACCGACCATTGCAGCTGAGCTTCTGCCACAGATTCTGACACGTCAGGTGACTGAATGTTGGCTTGTTTTCTAGGCTCTCCTTACAGCCCATCCAGGTCATGAAATATAGAGGGGATTTCTTGACTAGACAGGCAGCTTTTAGACCTCATTCCCTTACCTTCATGGTCAGTCATCAGTGTCACTCTCCCTCTCTTCATCAAGAGTTCCTCGTGTTAGTATTAGCTCAGAGGGACCCATTGCAGAAGCATCAGGTCCTTGAAGGGAACAGAAATGGCTGTACACAAACCAGCTTGCTAAAGGTAAGGTTTCCATCTGCACAGAAACACAGCAATCAACACCTGCCCTAAGGGGACAGAAAGCTGCTTGTGGATCCCAGACACAGGACAGACTCCATCAGCACCTACTCGCCTCATATGAGGAACAGAGCAGCCAACAGCAGAGCTTCCTCATATTCTAGTCTGACTGTTTCACCTTTTCTAAAGTATTTCATTATTTCTAGTAGGTCCACTGCTTTAGCTACACAGTGGGGTTTCTTCCAAACCTGTGACTGACACAGGAAGAGCTGAGTGTGACCAATCCCACAGGAACTCAAGCCCCACTCCTCTAACATGGAGCTGCTTTCACACTTCTTGTGAGGACAAAGAAGCACCGTATTACTGCACAAGGCAAACTCTTCACAAAACTTCTGCAGTAACCTTTATCTTCCTGGGGAGGTACCTGCCAGTGTGCTGCCCTGCACACACACACTGCCCATGTCCTTCCACAAGTGTTCCAGCTGCTCTCTCTTTTGGTTATTTTCAGCTTCCTCCTGTAGATAAAGATTTACATGTGGATTCTGAGCACATTTAAAACATCAGGAGAAGAGAAACCTCACCCAAACCCAGCAGTCTGTCCCCCAGTCAGAGAGCAGAAGTCACTGTGCAGGTCTTACATTTCAACTAAGGTTACACAGAACTTCTGACTAAGCATGGAAAGCAACCTCCAGTAAGGTGGGATTCCAGGACATTTTCAGCAGTGCCGGGAAGCCAAACTCTGTGTAGCTGTGCCTGCAGAGAACTGTCCTCTGGACAGCCAGAACTCAAGGTGAGCAGAGTTACTGATTTTAGCACTGCAATTCAGTCTTTCTTACTAAGTCAAACTAGTACTCTTCACTGGGGCAGGAAGATACAGGGATGGTCTCAGCAAATCCCTTTGGAAATTTATTTTTAAGAACTCTCTACCCATCTGAATGAAAGACACAATCTTATTTCCCAATCGTTTTCTCACAATTAGCTCAAATATTAGCACTAAAACAGTGAACAACATCTGTTTTACAAAATCTTTATTTTTGTAAAGATATGCTCCACCACATCTAGGGAAAAAAAGGCAAATGGTGGACTCCTTCAGGACAGGAGTTTTCCCACAATGAGTACAAGTAGTAAATGAAATGTCAGACCCTCTCAACATACAGGCAACTGTGTGCATAAAAGTGAGCCCGAGATACACTGTTCAGGTGTACAACAGCTAAAAACACTTACCAGGGTTTTTCTCAGGTGCTCGTATGCTGGACGATACTCTCTGAAAAGGTGAATAAAGAGAGTGCATTCAGTGTGAAAAACACATGATTTGTATTACATAAGGATCATCCTGGAGGCTTCCTTTTACCCCAAAAACATTTCTCTAGGCTTTCATGTTTGAGAGACATTTCAGAAAGACTAACAGTACTTTTTTCCCCATATTTGGATTCTGAAACCAATGGATGCAAAATCAATGAACATACTTCATTAAAACAGCAACAATTCAAACCTTGGTATGGAATTACAAGAAAAAAATTACTTCACAGATTTGCTGGCACAGATAGCTTTTACTTTTTCACGGAACAGCACAAAAATTCATCTCTGAATAGTTCCTTTTTACTGCTGCTTTTTATGCTGATACTGGACACCCTAAGCTACCTTGGCTATGGCAACTGGACACTCCTTCAAATCAAAGGAGCAGACTCATGAATCAGGACCTTCAGGAAGTGGTCACTGGGTCACGGACCAAAAGTTATCCCCTTACCTCTCACATTCATCTACAGCTTTAGAAAGCTGGATAAAAAACTCCCCCAGTCCTGTGCCAAGCACTGCAGAAACACCAACCACCTGGAAAAGAAAACACACCAGAACTAGAGAGTAACCGAGCCAGATTTTTAATACAGAAAAAAAACCAAAATAAAAACAAACAAACAATCCCCCACAACAACAACAAAAAAAAATCAACACCAGTAAAAAACCCAACAAATAACTACTAATCTAAACCTAACAATAGCCATTTAATCAGCACAGTGGCCCAAGAGTGGGCAGTAACACTTCTGCTTCTGTCCATCCCACTTTCAAACTCTTCCTCCACTTGCTGTTCATGTTTGTTACTTCTGCTTTTTGGTTGTCGGTGATTTTCTGTTTGGTGAGCTGTTGGGGTATTTCGGGGGGTGTTTCTTTGGGGAAGGAGGTTTGTTTGGTATTTTTTAACACCATAGGGCAATTCAAAAGAAAGGGCAAGTCTTTCTGCTGTTTACTTGTTTATTGTTAATAACCCAAGTTCTCATTCTGCATCTAGGGTTGTAAGTGGTTAGCAAGTACCAGTGTACTAAAGTGCAAAAGAGACAACA